TTCCCACCTGTCGTCCCGGCTTTCTCCTGGCAGGTCGGTGGTTTCCAGCCAGGATGGCAATGGCAGCTCCCCCGGTTATTGCAGACCTGTGTGGCAGACAGACAGAGAGGGGATTTACAGCTGGGCACAGCCTCCCCGCGTGCAGCTCACCCGGAGCTCACACTGTCGGCCCTTCGCCTCGCCACAGCCCGGGGCAACCGCAGGCGGAGGGTCTGAGTTCCGAGAAGCCAGCACAGCGCTTGTTCCAATGGGCTCCCGAGGCACTGCCCTCTCTCCATCCTTATCCCCTCTTCCAGCCTCCCGGCAGGCTCAGACTCTGCTCGGCTGATTTACAAAGAGGAGGCACTTGGCTCCACGAGGGAGTTCTGCTGGAGCCACTACACACGGAGCCTCGAGAGATGCTCCAGCACCTCCACTGCTGACCCCCCTCGGCTGCTCTTCCCCACAGATACGACCCGAGATGCTGCTTTTGTGAGCCACGTCTCCAGAGAGCTGAGCAAACCACAAATGATGCGCAGCACCGTGACCTACTCCGTGATTGTGGCACTTGGTCTCCACGTCGCATTTGTAGCCCAGGTCGGTGGCAGGCACGCAGCGCTGGTTCAGGCAGACCTTGTGCTCGTCGCAGACAGTGCCGTCGTTCACCAGCATGGGGTCCGTCTCCGCGGGAGGCTTCATGTAGTCTAACGTTACACACAGCGTGTTCTGCACCCGAGCGTAAACCACCGCAGCCTTCTCCCTGGTGAAGGGCTTGGAGCCCCGATATTCACACACGAGCTTCCCGCACCAGAGATCCCTGCAGAGGCATTGCAGCAAAGGGTGTGACAACAGCCCCCTTCCTCCCTCCCTTTCAGCTCCGTGGCCAGCACGGGGCGAGTGCTTGGAGGATGGATCCCATGCACCCAATTCCCTGCACACGGACACGGCAACACTTGTGTCTGCCCTGGACCCCTTCCACCCCCCAGACCCATGGCACATCCAACACCCCTGCCCGCCCAGCCCCAGGATGGCACCGTTCTCTCAGCGGAGCTTGGGGAACCCGTCTTCCCCGCCGTGGGGCTGGGGTCCCCGCTCCCTGGCAGAGCACGCTGCAGCCAGAGCACCCCGCACCCTTGCTACGGCACTTACTTCCACGCACATCGCCGGTAACCGTGGTGCCTGGAGCCGCAGTGTCCTATTCTGTCCCTTTGGCTGTTAATTTCTTCGTAGCAGGCCAAGGGCCCGTTCTTGGCACCTGCAAACACACAACACCACTCGTGGTCCATCCAGCTCGCACCCGCACCCCTGCACCACCCTTCCCGTGGGGCTCTCACCGGCTGGTCCGCCAGCCCCTCTCTTCCACCCAGCTGGGATCAGCTCCACGAGATCTCCTCCCTCACTGACACCTCCGCAGCCAGCCCCTCACCTTGGCCAAAGACCTTCTGACACTGCTTGTCGGCTGTCTGGCAGACCCCCCGGTAGCAGAAGGCGGTGTTCCTGCTGCAGGGATGACCGTCCATGACCCAGAGGTCGGGTGCGCATTCCCCAGAGGTGCCGTTGCAATATTCCTTCAAATCACACTCATCCTCAGGGCTGCTTCGGCATAACTTGCCTCTTTTCACAAACTGGAGAAAGGAAAATAGAATTTCAATAGAATAGAATTTAAATACAGCAGATGAGAACAGAATTGAGAGGAGACGACTGGCACCAGCACTCTGCAGCGCTCACTTCACTTTCCAGCACTGGCTGACCCTCCCCATCAGCGCACTGGCCAGTACCGACAGCTGGAGGCACGGTCCCCATTTACCCCTTGGGTCCTCACATCTGGCACATCACTGAGCCGTGTTGGTGTGGGGATGATCCGAAGGGAAGGCAGCGTGCCCGCTGCTGGCACACGGCTTCCCTGGCACCGCCGGCAGCACGGTCCCGACAGGCACTGCACCCCCCTCCTCACCCTGCAGCCGACGGTGCAGCACAGGTCGCGCCGACACTCCTGGAGGGGACCGGTGGGGACATTCAGGTGAGGTTCTGCTTTTGCAGGGATGACAAGGGAACAAGCGGTACCCGCAGCTGCATCCCCTTGGCAGGTCCCTCCCAGCGCATCCGACTGACCTCCGGTGAGCCGCAGTCACAGTCCTCTCCAGGCTCCACCACCCTGTTCCCGCACACCGGAGCTTTGTACGGCACGTCCATGGCCGGCCTGTTAATCACTGCCCCTCCCCAGCCGCGAGGAAACGCTCAAAGGCTCTGACGCTGCAGTTGCTGAAGGCTTTCACGCCAGCCGAGGGTCTGCAAGGCAGGGGACAGGGCTGCTGTCACCACAGGCTGCATGGGGGCTGCGTGGCCCTTCCCGCCTGCAGAATTCATCGGTAACAGGGGCGGCTGCTCTGCTGCGATCCACCTGGGAGCTGCCTGCTGTCTGCCCTCCAGACACATCCTGTCCCACTTGTGTTACCGCACTGAAGCCCACCCGAGTGCCGAGGGGCAGGGAGCCTTACACCCAGCGGGGCTGCATGATGCAGGCGGCTCCCGCGCAGGGACAGGTCCCAGGGTCATCGTACGCCATCCCCAGGCTCAGCCCCAGGAGCCGGGCCACCACCACAGCAAACGTCTCCAGCATCATAGCCCTGCCATACTGCGGGGGGACAAGGACAAGATCAGCCTGGTGTCACGGCCGGACGCCAGCACCTTCCCTCGGGGTCCATGCCCCCGGCCCCTCTGCTGCCTCGCGCGGGGGGCTCTGCTCCCACCCGGAGGGGCAGCTGCTGTGGGGGGCTGAGCTCCTGGGACACTGCTCAGCACCTCACCGACAGGCAGGGGAGGCTGTGGGGACAGACAGTGCAGTGGCACCGTACCAAGGCAACCCCTCCAGCGTTGTTTCTGAGACACAGCTTCCGCGCAGAAGATGCCCCCACGTAACGGGACTGCTCCCTGTAACTGGGGGACAGACCAGACCCCGTCTGACACGTGTATGCCAGCACCTCCCTCTTCCTTTCGCTCCACGCCAGTGCAGCTGTCCGCATCTTACACAAACAGGAACGTTATGTCCTGCAGCCGCAACACACGATGCACGTTTTTCCACTGCAAAAATCTCTGCAGCAACTCCTCAGCATCTCCTGTGGTCGGGATTTTGTTCTTTTCCGTCCAAAACTCCAGAGAAGACAGGACTATTGTCAGGTTGAGGCGAGCAAACATCTGGAGGCAGATAGACACCACGGCTGGTGCAGAGCCTGCTGCTCCACGCCGTCCCGCCTGCTTTAGCTACGGGGCCTTATCTGTGCTGGTACCACCCATCTCCCACGCTCGTTCAGGATGCCCCTAACACCACTCACGCTGTTCACATAGCTGAAAAGCTGCACTATGCTGGCTGTCACAGCGTCCTTGTCTGCTCCCATGTAGTCATACTGAAAGGTGACAAACACAGGAGCGCGTCAGGGCACCGTGCAAAGCAAACTCCGAGAGCGCCGAGGGAGTTTGTTCCCATTGTGTGCAGACTCTCCAGCCCCACGCAAATTGCCCTTGACATTCCTGTGTAGCTACAGACTTGCTGCTTGCAGGAATTTTTTCTAGAGGCAACATTTTACAGCAGAGAGGATGCAAAGACTTACCAGCGCCTTGTCCAAAACGACGTGCATTTCCAGATACCGGGGGGATCTACGGACAGCGTGCTTACTCTTTAGGAAAACCAAAAAACAAACTAAACAACAAGAACACCCCAGGCACAGGTTAGTGCCGAGATTCTGCAGCGTGCAGCAGCTCTGCCAAGGGGCCCTCTGACTCCATGGGCACTGCACTTCATGGAGCACCCTCGCAGCTCCCACCCGCCACGGACAGAGACCTCACCCTAGTGCAGACAGGCTGGAAGCCCTTTAGCATCTGCTGCACCAAACCAGCTCAGAGACAACACACTATTGCACAAATCCAGGCACCCTTCAGCTACAAATTGCCCAGGTCTGCAGCCATCATCCCACCGCAGACCACCCGTCCAGGAGGTGTACTCACTGCCATTGCAACCTCCGGCTCCCGAGACACCTCCCCAGTCCAGGCAAGGGAGCTGTTTTCTAGGAACAGCCGAGTGTCTAGGTTTTCATCCCACATTGGGTACACGAGATGCTGAAACCCAGCTGCAGCCTCCAGAGACCTGATCCCATAGCTGGTGTTCCCAAGCTGCAGGATCCCGCTGGAAAGCAAAGGCATGGAGCCTCAGGAATGGCTCCTCTGCCACCGTGGGATGACACTGATGCTGCCCGTGCGCCTGTCCCACACCCAAAGGCATCGCTTTACCTCAGGCCAGAGCAGGTGCTGAGTGCCACGAGCGACACAGGGAATCCCTCGACGTCGCCTTCATAGAAGCAGTCGCGCTGGAAGGATCGATGTGTCAATGGCTGTGTGTGAGGTGCCAGACCTTGCTGCCACCTGCGCTGTGGTCCCTGTCCCCGCAGAGGACGAGCACACAACGTGTGCGAGGAGAAGCGCAGCACCACGGGCTCCTCTGGGAACGGCCACCTGCCCTGGCCACCGCTGGGTCTTTGTCCCTTCCTCAGCTCCCTGCCGTCCTCGGGAACCCATTACATCCCCAACCCAGGGAACGGTTTGGTGCCTTCAGATTCTGCGCGTTCCCCCTGGAGCCCTCCCCCAGCTGCTCCGCTCTCGGGGACGGCGGGGGCAGCTCCTGGGGTGCGACCATTACCTCGATATGGG